TAGGTTCCTTAGCTTTTTCAGACTCTAAACTCTGTAATTAACTCATATAAGAAGCCACAACTTTTTGTTTTATATTTTTGTCACCTTGTTTCTTGCTTTGTCTAAAGAATTGGTTGCAGCACCCACTTTGAACTTGTAGTAGCTGATGACAGTGGTGGTGAATATTTCCTTACTTTCATTAATTAGTTTCCCTTCTTAACAGACCCATAAATAGTGTGGCCCCGTGGTAGTGTCTCTTTGTGGTGCTTCCTGCTGCAGTTAGACAAGATGCTTCTTTTTTCTGAGCTTCTGGGCCCTCAGTTTGAAAAACTATACCACACTTATAATCACAGGTGACATCTCTCCTTTGAGCTAGTAAAAAACAAACATGTGAGTTTAACATTTGTCTCAGGAAGCTAAAAGAAAACTTATTTTTCTTAGCTGTAATTTCTATTTAGCTAAAATAAGTGTTAATAACAATACCATGATACTCTCTTACAGTTGGCTTGGAGCAAATTCAAATCAGCTAGTAAACCTCGGAGTAACTAATTCTGATATATTTTGAGTCCTCAAATACCTTATTTTAATAAAAAAAATACTTTCCAATATAAATGGCAAATGTGTCAGAGTGACTGCAGATGAGGAAACTTAGATTTTTATCCCCCACCTGCAATCTTCATATTTAAAATTTCATGATTAATTACAAAGGAGTCTGAAACTGGCAAAAAGTTTTTGGTAGTTAGGAAGACATGTTAAACCTTCCTATTTATCTTAGTACATAATATTTTTCATAAAATCGCTTTGTCTACAGTCACTGTCCAGGTGGTGTTTACAGCTGTGACTTAGCGTCTGAGGGGGCTGCCTTGGTTGCCCATCGCACACATGTCTTCCCCCTTTCATTCTCACAACCCACCACCATGTGAAATGGAGCATGCTCGGTAAATGCAGTCACTTAAATTATGTTAGTCTGTTTAATTATAATATTAGTATATTAGTGTTTAATAAAACATATTTTAAGTGTTAAAAATAACAATACACATCTCTTTTGGGTTATTTGTATCAGTATTGCTTTATATTAACATGGCTACATGGGAGTTGGTTGTATTCTGAATAGAAAAAGTGAATCAGATCTCATTCACTTATCAAAAAGATGTGGGCCTTCTAAAAAGTCCAGTTGTATAGCTGCTCTAGAATGATTGGAAAACATGAAAGAGCAATGTAGACTACAAAATTATACACATAGTTTTAAAAGCAGCAAATGGAAATTAGGTATTTTTTTGGCAAGGTCATAGGTGGGAGAGATTTTTAATCATTACTCATTCCATTTTGTAGCAACTGTGTCTCATCAGGTCTAAGGTTCTCTTGATTGTAAGGTGCATCTCAATTTCAGTGACATTAAAATAGGGTCATCCCTTGGTATCCAAAGGAGACTGATTTCAGGACCCCCATAGATACCAAAATCATCGGATGCTCAAGTCCTTTGTATAAAATGATGGAGTATTTGCATATAACCTATATATATGCTTTAAGTTCTCTCTAGATAAAAGCTATGTAAATAGATGCTGGAGTCTCTGCAGCAAATTCAAGTTTTCCTTTGGAGCTCTCCAGAATTTTTTTTTTCTGAGTATTTTCAATTCACAGTTTGAATCTATGGATGTGGAACAAGTGGATACAGGGGGTAGGGGGTAGGGTTGAGGTGGGGGAGGTGGTGGGAACAACTGTATTTTAAAAATGTGGCCTCAAATGGGTGAAATGTAAATATAGATTCTCTGTGCCCCGGGCCTCTGGAGAACATTATTCCTTGTAGAGAAAAAGTCAGCATCTGCTGGCACTGTGTTAGCCCCTTTCAGTTTTGTTTGGAATGAATTAAGCTTTGATATTTTAAAAATAAATTGATACTAACATTAAGATGATCTTGTAGAATGTGTCCAGAGTAGTCCAGTGAGGTCTAGTGATTTAGACTCAGTCTGTGGGAATAAAGCAGTCTAATTTAGAGATAGAGAGTATTCGTATTTGAAACTGGAATAATAAGACATAACATGACCTTTCATCTAAAGTATTCCCAAGATGTACCTCTTCTGTTTTTAAAGCTTTCAAGTTAAATCATAAAAATTTGTATCAGTAAAGCTATTTTGAGGGTCAACTAAGTATAAAGACTTGCAGGGAATTAACATGAATAAAAGGTGTCACAGATTCAAAGAGACCTTTCTGGTGACTAAAGATTCTCATTTTTAAAGAAACTATCTTATTCGCTACCCAGTTTCTTTGCTCAGTTTATAGCTTAAGCCTGTTTAGTTTTTGTTCTGTGGTTAGTGAGGTAAAAAGTCATTTATAATAATATGCGGAAGAGAACAAATCTGATTGAGCCTCTGGGTAGCCAACTCCTCCTTTTTCCCCCTATCTTTTTTATTATTTTTATTTTATGTAAGTTTCAGATGAACAACATTACTATTCAACATCTGTGTACCCTACAAAGTGACCACCATGACGAGTATAGTTACCATCCATCACCATACAGTTGACTCCCTTCACTCATTTCACCCGACCCACAACCATGTTCCCCTCTGGCAACCACTAATCTGATCTCTGTATCTGTGAGTTTGTTTTCATTTTCTTTTGTTTGTTTTGGGTATTTTTTTTTTAGATTCCACATATGAGTGAAATCATATAGCATTTGTCCTTCTCTGATTCATTTCACTTAGCATAATAGCTTCAAAATCCATCCCAGTTGTGGCAAATGGCTGCATTTAATTATTTTTATGACTGAGTAGTATTCCACTGTGTATATTTACCACATCTACCAACTCCTATTTTTCAAATCAGTATGAACCTGACTCTAATATAAGATCATCTGGTGATGGAGCCAATAGAAGCCCAGATATTCATTTCCTTGCCACATAGATGGACACTGGCCACTAACACAACAGTGTCAATGAAGATGTATCTGGAACAAAGACAGAATAGGGAGTCCACCAAGTGAGGGAAATGTGGATTATCTGGGGCTAGAGTGATATGGGTTTGTTCCTTGTCTTATGGATCAGGAAGAGTTGAGGGACAGCTCCAGGCAGTACTTGAAACACTTTCCATTTTGATCTGCTTTCTAGACCACTTTGCAATAGAAGGTGTAGCTCTGACTCCTGCCATGGCTATATATTCTGTGTCTTTCCAGAGGCTAACATTCATACAAACAGCAGAGAGAGATGACAAGTACATTTGCAATTATTCACGTACACCAGAGTGGCGGATGCATCTGTTATTAGGCTGCTTTCATGTTAAATTTTTCATTATTATGACATTTCAGTTTGGCATTTTAAATTTTCATCTTTGTCCCTTTTCATCTGTTACATTTTAGTGACTCAGATATCCCACATCAGAACTGTGTTAGATATGAGGGAGATAAAAAAAAACAAACAGACATAATCACTGTCCTCAAGGGTCTCACAGACTGGGACAGAGAGAAAAGCTCAGCCCTGAGACAGAAGGAACTAGCCCAGCTAGCCAAGAGCCTTCTTTATTCCTCTGTTAACAGATAAAGCAGAACCTGCCTCAGGAAGCTTAGGGTTCCATGGATCCTCCCAGGCAGCAGGCAAGACTCTGAAAATTCTGTGATACACTCAGGTGATACAGGTTCTTTGTGTTTCCGGGCTACATTCAGATCCTGAGATTAAAATAGCTCTCCTTACTGTCTCCCCTTAGAGAACAGAATTGTCATTTAGAGAGCAGCAACTGGAGGGAGGAAAGCCATCTGCTATGCAGAAAGGGCCAAAGAGGTTTCTGTGAATTGAATTAGTACCCCCTCCCCCAACAGTACTGCATAGTGATTTAAAAAGAGGGTCTGTGGGCTCACAGAGGGACCTGTCTTAAATGCGAGTCTATGCAGGACTGTCTGACTGCGTTTGAACCTCCTGGTAAATAACTTGCCAATACCTTTGATTTATTGTTATCCTTTTTATCTTGACTACTTTGTCGAAATGCCATTAGAAGTTCTAAGATTTCGCTCAACTGTTCCATATCTGGGGATTCCTTTTTTAAGAAAGATGAGATTTCCAGGCAGAATAAAAAAACCTTATGTCGGTCATCTGGAGCCTTTGACTTGTTTATGTCCATTTGTTTTTAGACAGAATTTGCAGAAAGACAACCTATGTATAAAACATACACATGTACTAGCCCAGTCATTCAGGTGTAAGTCAACATCTGCCAAGAATGTTGGTCCACACGTGCCATATTGACTGAAAACATATCTCTGTTTGAAATTTAATGTAAGTTGTGCAGCTATAATTGTTAATCTTTCTGTGGTAAGTCAGGCTATGCTCCCCTTCTCTTTCCTTTTAACTGCAATTACAAACAAATCAGCTAAGGGAGGTGAGCTCAGGCAAGAGAGGAGGATGGAGAGCAGGAAGTAGTCAGGTACATAAGCACTCATAAAGTTTTAGCTCTGATTCATTTTTGGTTGAAACCCAGTACAAGTGTTATGTTTAGTTTCCCCTGCTCTAAAATAGCACTGTTAATTTTTTTTTCATTTGGTGAATTTTCGCACAAGTGCTAATCACACGTTTCTATAAATTATATTAATTTAACTTATTTCCCTAAATGTTGTTCTGCAGTGTGTAGCACGGATGTTCTCAGATTCTTGGCTGTGTAAGCTTGTTGCAGTTGGAAGCGGAACAGAAACATCTGAAAGGCATTATTTGGATAACAGATGCATGAGCATCTGATCTCACCTTTTGCTCTGGTTCCTAAATCACAATTGTTCTTTCCCTTCGCATTCAGTCTGTATGCCCGGCTCCCTCCATTCTTGACATTGCCCGAGGGTTGTTTTTTTTGGAGAAAGCATTGTCATCACACAAGTATCAGTTAAAGGACTAGTAAACTTTAGTAATTGTTATTTAATAGTTTGCAGGAGGGTGACTACTTCAAATTTAAAAGACAAAGGAGATTGGTGTGGATTATAATGTGCCTTTTCTTGCCCCTAAAAAGGAATACTCATATTTATGAAAAATAACTTTTTTTTTCTTTTACAGAGTATGATTTCATCCATTGTAAATAGCACATATTATGCCAACGTGTCAGCAACCAAGTGCCAGGAGTTTGGGAGATGGTATAAGAAGTACAAGAAGATTAAAGGTAAAGTGACTTTTATTTTTGAAGCCTATTTTCAGTTCCTTAGGCCAATGAGTTGTTGATTCTTGGAAATGTATACTAATGTAGATATAATTTTTCATAAAATTTTTGTATAATTTTTTATAAAGGTAGGATTCTTTTTTAATTGGAGTTTAGTTGACTTATATATTAGTTTCAGGTGTACATCAAAGTGACTCAGTTATACACATATACTTTTTTTAGATTATTTACCATTGCAGGCTATTATAAGATATTGAATATAGTTCCCTGTGCTATAGAGTAAATTCTTGTTGCTTATCTATTTTATATATAGTGGTGTGGGTCTGTTAATTCCAGACTCCTAATTTATCTCCTCCCCTCTTTCTCCTTTGGTAACCATGTTTGTTTTCTGTCTGTGAGTTCTGTTTTGCAAAGAAATTCATTTATTTTATTTTTTTAGATTCCACATATAAATGATATCATATAGTATTTGTCTTTCTTTGTTCAACTTATTTCACTAGTATGATAATCTCTAGGTTTACT